ATGCAGTTGAGCTGCGCCCAAACCCTGTGAAGGGTTGCGCGGCGCCCGCAAAATGTGTAACTTTACCTCGCGTTTGAACACCCGAGGAGGCGAATCCCTGTGAAGGGTTCACGGCGCCCGAAAAATTTGTAACTTTACCTCGCGTTTGAACGCCCGAGGAGGCGAATCCCTGTGAAGGGTTCACCCGCGCGCCTAAAATGTGTAACTTTACCTCGCGTTTGAACGCCCGAGAGTTCCAATCCCTGTGAAGGGTTGCGCGGGAACCGCAAAATGTGTAACTTTACCTCGCGTTTGAACGCCCGAGGAGGCGAATCCCTGTGAAGGGTTCACCCGCGCGCCTAAAATGTGTAACTTTACCTCGCGTTTGAACGCCCGAGAGTTCCAATCCCTGTGAAGGGTTGCGCGGGAACCGCAAAATGTGTAACTTTACCTCGCGTTTGAACGCCCGAGGAGGCGAATCCCTGTGAAGGGTTGCGCGGGCGCCTAAAATGTGTAACTTTACCTCGCGTTTGAACGCCCGAGAGTTCCAATCCCTGTGAAGGGTTGCGCGGGCACCGCAAAATGTGTAACTTTACCTCGCGTTTGAACGCCCGAGGAGGCGAATCCCTGTGAAGGGTTCACCCGCGCGCCTAAAATGTGTAACTTTACCTCGCGTTTGAACGCCCGAGGCAGCGAATCCTTGGGAAGGGTTGCGCGGGAACCCTAAAATGTGTAACTTTACCTCGCGTTTGAACGCCCGAGGAGGCGAATCCCTGGGAAGGGTTGCATTCCCGATGGACGACAACGGTGCCACCCCTGGCTTTAGAAGAGAGAATTAGATACCGAGATGTAGAGAGTAAGTCATAGAGGCATAGAGTCAAGTAAGTAAGTAAGTAAGTAAGTAAGTAAGTATAAGTAAGTATAGAGATAGCATAACATAGAGTCCAGTGTCAAGTGTCAAGAAAGTAAGTAAGTAGAGTGAAGTAAGTAAGTAGAGTGAAGTAAGTAAGTAAGTAAGTCGTAAGCATAACATAGAGTCAAGTATCAAGTGTAGAGTCAAGTATCATAGAGTCAAGTGTCAAGTGTAGAGAGTCAGTCATAGAGGTCAAGTAAGTAAGTAAGTAAGTAAGTATCAAGTGTAGAGTCAAGTATCAAGTGTAGAGTAAAGTATGGAGTCAAGTAAGTTGATTCTATGTCTGTCATCTATGTACTCAGCTGCGGCGTTCCACACGGAAGAACCCTTCGCGATGCTTTCGGGGAAAAAAAAGAAGGTTCGATATCTTGATCCTGTTACCGATCCTAAAGGTTGAGGACCTAGAGACGAGGAAAGTGCTCCACATCCCGGACATCCCTCACATCGTCGAGGATCCGCCGAACCCGGACTTCCTGAAGCACGCGTCTTAGGGGCTGAGGAGTTGAGGGGTCCCGGGATGTGGGTCAGGATTTAGGGCCGATCGGTTTTGAGGTACTGGGTTTATGGTTTCGAGTTTGGTGCAGGGGTTCCGGGGTTTAGGGTGGTAGCTCAAGCTGGGGCATGTGTCGGCTTTCGGATACGACTTTTCGCAAGGGCAGGCTGCATGCTCGCCGCTTAGAACAGGAGACCTCATCAATCGAGAGGCAAACCCTGTTGCCTGATACCTCAAACATGCAAAAACCTAAACCTCAGTCTGAATCAGCAAGCAAAATAGAAGCTTCCGAGAGGACATGTCGCATGTGGTGGATAATGAGGTAGCCTGAAAGCTTACATTGTCGTCTAGCAAAATCCTTGTCAAAAAGGAGACGTTGCGACTGGGACAATTTGCAAGCAGTAAACCTCCTTTCGTTTAACTGTAGTTTTGTTTTGGGGTTGAGCTTGAGCAAGCAAAACTGCATAAGTATGAAACAAAACATGAACCGTTCAAGTCAACGCTGAGCACGTCTGAAATCTGAAAGCCCTTTAAAACCCTGATATAGTACAAGATAACATACTACAATAAGATATTTCATATAGCACGCTATAAGAAAATACGACATGTTGTGATATCTACACCCTCACCCCCGCAGCTCTCAGGCGCTGCAAGGATGGCTGGGACAACGATGGCCGCAGAGCAGCTGAGAACTGCTTTGTTCGACGGTGCTCCGACGACGAAAGCTATGGCTTTCTTTTGAGACTCTAGGGTTTAGGGTTTAGGGGTTTAGGGTTTAGGGGTTTAGGGTTTACGGTTTAGGGGTTTAGGGGTTAGGGTTTAGGGGTTTAGGGTTTAGGGTTTAGGGGTTTAGGGTTTCGGGGTTTAGGGTTTAGGGTTTAGGGTTTAGGGGTTTACGGTTGAGGCACGGGCATTGAGATGTGGCGTTCGGGGTTCGTGGCTTGTGCGAGGGGTTTCGAGACGTGGGGTCCGGATGCTTTGCGCGTTTCTTGGGGTTGATTAGCTTGTGGTTTCAGGGTAATTATCCAATGTTCAGGATGTGGACTGAACTGGGTTTGTGTAGGGCTGGCAAGCCTCGTGAGCACACCTCCAAGTTTGAAAGACTGCATGAATTTATGGGATGTTTCTAGATTCGACATTTCACCCTGAACCCCGTATCCCGACACCCTAAACTCTATATCCTGCAACCTATACAACCTATACCCTAAGCTCTAACCCGAAGCCCCGAATCCCAACCGCCAGCAGACACCCGAGGATCCAGAGGGGATGGCGCATCATCGAAGTAAACCGAGTGCCTGTGACACCAGAGGCAGGATCTACGGAGGTAAGGATTGTTGAGATTTAAGTAGTAGAGTAGCTAGCTTCAGCCTTATTGCGATACTATAATCCATCAATAATCTCAAAGGCTAACCTTAGGTCCCTAGGAAGCTGGAGAACTATGAGGATTTAGGGCTCATGGGGCTGCAGGTCTACAGGGCCAGGGTCGATGTAGATTTCAGGGTAGTTGTCCAGGCCTTGCAGATTTCGGGGCTTCAGGACTCTCTCTGACTTCAAGGGTGTACAGCATGCCACTCAAGGATGCAACTACCTGTTCCCTAGTCTGTTTGGTAAGGTAGTTGCTGCGCTTTAGTTTGTGTTTCTTCCTCGAGCAGCTGCAATATGGATCAGGTTCTTGGTAGGTAGATACTAAGCCGTACGTGCTTCATGTGGGTAAGTGTGCCATCACGTTTAGCTCACGACCCAATTCCCGGCATTCGGAGGGCTACGACGACGTTTGGTCTTGGTCGTTTGTATGTAGGGACGTGGACCTTCGGAAGCACGAGACACTCGACACCCCTCAGCAATGCTTGCTACCCCAACAGACAAGTTGAGCTTGGTTCCTGTAAGGTCTTTCGCAAACGTAGTCTCGGTGAGCAAAGCTGCATATCTCCTAAGAATGAGCTACATGGGGCATTCGTGGGCAGAGCCGTAGCTGAATGAACGACACGCACCTTGCGAGGGAGTCGCAGCTGCGCTGGAGAAGGTAAAGGACTGGTTTGTTGTAGGATTGGCATCTGAGGCTGGCAAGGGTTCGGAGAGTCACTATTCAACCGTCTGAGCAAGTGGGCTGAAGGCAGGAAGGATCATAAAGGACATCCCAATAGGACTATGCCGGGAATTCCCCACCTACCTGCATGCCGCCTTCGAGGCCTTTGGAACTCCGCTTAGCCTACATCCTCCATCCATATGCCCTAATCCCTAAAACTCTAAGCCCTAATCCTAAACCCTGAACTCTAAGCCCTACGACTCTAAACTCTTAAACCTTAAACCCTAAACCCTATAAACCTTAAAGCTTTAACCGTAAGCCCCAATAGACGGCTTGCTGCTTTGTACTATAGTTCTTGACTCCTAAGTCTGCGACTTTGGTTTGGGGTTTCCGACATCCGTGCGACAACCAGACTTGACATGACTCTTCGGTGGACTGGAACTCTGGAGACAGATGAAGTGATCTTGGCCCCAAACTGTGTGGTTCACAGCTTCATGATACAATCTATCGACCTTTATTCTCCGCTTGCGTGAATGTCCGCAAGCCTCAGTCCTAACTTCGAAAAGATCGAACCTAAAGCACCACAGTCTTGACCCGACATGCTGGACACTGAACCGTGCAATATTTTCAGTCCCAACATATAAATAATAGTGCACCGCTGAGCCCTGCATTCCAAACTATGCAGGATTCTGGCAAGTATACAATCACCTTCGACTTCACTTCTTGCCAGCAGCAGTTGGACTTGACCGCCTCGCAGGCGAGACAGGTTGCGGTTGGGGTTGAACAAATGAGTAACTCGGGGTTGCGTCTCCTACCGTAGCAAAACTTCTAAACCGGCCCTAAGCCCTCAGCCCACCCTACGTAGAATGCCGAAGTAAGGGTTTAGGGTTTAGGAATCAGGACTTGAAACAAAAGCCCCAATCTCTGCAAGGTGCATGCGTCAGCCATGGGATTCAGGGTTCGGCGCAGCATCGTGGGGTTTAGTAGAGAAGCTTGGCTAATTACCAATACTATTCGTTAAGGTTCCTTCCTTTAGATCCATGTTGACATACCCAACATCTTATCCTCAGCATTCTGCATTAAGGCCACCATGTTGAGGGTGGAACGCCCTGGTTCTTCCATATTTACAGTATTGTCGCATATTTTGTAGCGAAAATCACTGTCGGAATAGACGGGCGGTCTAAAATGTTCCTTTCTGACAAACTTAGTGTATTCGAGGTGCAGTTCAATACTTTGTCGCAGCTAGGCCCCGACTTAACTATTATCCTAAATTCCATTTAACTATTATCCTAAATTCCGTGTTCCTGTCGCCAAATTAACATCAGTTGACAGCGCAGAGCCAAAGCCTAGCACGAAGCTCACGTCCTGAACCCTTCCGAAATTTTCAAAACATAAACCCTATCCCGCCCCTACACAAACACCAAACCCCACATCCAACCGGGTAGATCTCTTATCCAGGGTGGATTCGTGTGTGTGTGTGTGTGTGTGACTTCATCAGCTTGCTGCCGGTCTCCTCCAACCTCCATCACCACGTCGATCTTGGCCCAGCAAAGAAGGGTAGGTGCGTTGCGCCCAGCAGTTTGGCTAGCATGGCTGCCGTCGTGCAGCATTTGCACAACGCTGTGAGGGGCGTGCTAGGCTTCACCGCGAGCCTGGTTGTGATTCCCGGCGTGTTGTTGCCAGTGAGGCGACACCGTGCAAAGGATGCACAAGACATGGGCAAAGAAGCCAAGGAACTGGCCAAGATTTGCTCGGAGATGTACAAAAGACCAGCACAAAGAACTCAGAGCCTTTTCCAATGGTATCTCCTTGATGGCTTCAACCACGACAAGTGGGCCCTTTACAACAGGGGCACTGACTTGTTGCTTGCGTCTCAAGGGACTCACGAGTGGGCGGACTTTTATTCAGACCTCATGATCATCTTCAACGGCGAGTCGATGATGAACCTCGACCCCTACGTGGAGAGCTTGGAGGCGGCTCAAAGCAAGCATCCGGACATATCCCGGATCATGGTCACTGGGCACTCCCTAGGAGGTACCATGGCCTGGGCCGTGGCGAAGCGTCCGCAGGACCTGGGACGTGCAGAAGTCGAAGGGCACGTATTCAACCCTGGTTCGACCTGGGACTTCGACAAGTACTGCACAGAGGAGCGGCCGCTTGCCGGTGGGTCCCCCAAGTAGTCAGAAGTTATTCAGAAACAGTGAGCTCGTTGTAGACTCTTACCGAGGGTGTGTCTTGCATTTGTTTCTTTGTGTTTGTTAGTCGTGATCTTTTTGCGAAGAACGTAATCTGGTTTGTACCGAACCTGGCAGTTTCTGCAGAACCCAGAGCCATGAACTCAGGCTCAGCAAAGTCGTGGCCCACCATGTGGTCGGCGACGTGTTGTCTGCAGGCTGGTCAAAAACAGTCCAGATGGTCTGCTACAAGCCGCTGCGCAAGAACACCCACGCCCTCGCCAACTTCCTGTTTGGGTGAGTGGGTCGAAGATCCAAGGAGTCTCGCATTGCTGGCTAAGCCAATTTGTTAGTAGGGGGTTCTGGGGATGCTAGAAATGTCGTTTGCTGAACTCATCAGTGCTCATGTACCTACTGCCAGCAAAGCCCGTCAGAACGTCACCGCTCTGGTCCCGTGCAGCTCAGCGATCAGTTTGTGTGGTGACTTGTTCATTTCTTCGCATGTGAAGCCCGTGATATGCTGTCCAATCTTGATATCATGGTAGTGAGTATACCATGCAAGAGCGTGGACGAGCATCCCGAAGTGTGCCTCGCCATTCAAAAAATGTGCCAGACGCTGTGTCAAACCTTCCTATGGTCTAGCTTCAGGTTCGGCCTGTACGGTTTAGGGTCTTTACGATATCGGTAGGATGTAGAGCTTCGAGCGGAACCTTCAGGATTGAGCCCCAAACCCTCCCCAGCCAAGAATCCGAAACCGTAAGGAGATCACGAGACGTACTGACACTAGGCACTCCAATAGCGAATCTTGACCACCCATCTGCAGGCTGAGCCGAAGGCCAAGGCGAAGCCCAATCCTCGTTGGAAGTGTCCGAAGAGTGCCTAAGCAGAGTGAGTGTTGTTTTTTGTTGCGGCGGTAGGGGGATAGGGGCGGCGCCGGGGGGGGGGGGGGGGTTAGGTTTCGTTACAGGTTCAGGCTTGGGAGTTTGGGGGCTTACGAGAAATAAGGGCTTCAGGTATACGAATTTCGGTCCTAATCTTGTTGACGTTGTTAGTTTTCTCGGTTTCCAGGGAATGGGGGTGGGTAGTGTAGGGTTTCGGCTTACGGGTCTAGGCTTTTCAGTTTGGGTCTATGCTTTAAACGTGGCTTTCAGGCTTAGTTTGGCTGTCAGTCCAAAGATAAAAGGAGGGACCCTTAATAAGGACCCCCTGTGTATATAACCTTAATATACCTATTAAGCCCGTTATAGGGTGGGGATCCCCATTAGGGGTCCCTCCTTTTACCCGTTGAGTCATGTATCAATGTATCGTTCTCGGTTTCGGGCTGTCAGAAACTAGGGGTACCTGATCTATGTATCATAGACACTCAAGTGCTGCCTGCAGCATGGTAGGGATCTTGCTCTTTCTCCTGGTCTGGCTTCTGCTTGGGGTTCAGGGTTTGGGGTTCGAGGCTTTCCCAACAATCGCCGCTGGGTGATTGTACATGAACTTCTCCTAAGAACTTTACAGTGAAACCACAGTTTGCGGCAGAAACAAAGGCAAAGATCTACATCCCCAGCAAACCCTGTATGAAACCCTGATGATGCCCCACAAAATGCTCTAAACTCTAAATCCGCATGGAGCCGATGCAACAGTCCCTGCAATTAGGAATCCGTCCGAAAGCTTCGAAGATCAGGTTTTCCACTGCTTCACGCGGGGCTGGAGGGCCATCTCTACAGGGAGCATCTTGCCTCCAAGGGAAGAGGACTGGATAGGGCTTTAGGCCTAAATCCTAAAGTTGGGGGCTTAGAGTTTAGTTTCGGGTCTCTAAAGGGCGCATCCTGCCCGACACCATCCGGCTCTGACAGGGGAAAGGTTGGGGCCTCAATAGATGAAGCTAGACTATAGGGCTAGGGGGAGACAGGTTTTATGCTGTAAATATTAATGGTGGTAATAAACGTGTTGCACTGCACGGAAATGGTTGGCTTCGCACGGTCGCTTTTGAATGTCTACGGTTCCATCTCAAGAACATGCATCATAAGCAAGGCACCCCAAGCCCTACTCTGCTGTCCCGAACAAGGCCCAGTCGTATGGGTCCTGAGCGCTGGAAGCATCCAGAAAACGTCGTGGGGACGAGGCGTGGACTTAGGCATTCTCGGACCTGAGGTTTCGTCTTCAAGGCTCTTGACGACCCCAACATTTTCTAGGACTCTTTAGTGCGCTCTCGTTGTACAGATAGGCTCTGCTATCTATGCCTGGAAGCAAAGGACATTGCTACAAGAGCCATTTCACACATTCCATGCTCAGATGTCCACGGTTCGTGCCCAAGTCTCGATCCACGTAATGACAGTCAATTCCAAGCCCAAAACTGGGACTAAACCCTAATCCCTAAAACTTGCCTCTCTGAATTCGAAGACGTCGTTCAGGCCAGGCTCCGTCGGTGAAGCCGCGCCGTCTCAGAACTAGCACACCTCGGTCCAGCCAGTAGTACCCCCGTTGAGGACGGGCGTATCCGCAACAAAAGTGAACTACAGGGAAAGGGCACCCTTATTACTGTTCTGCTGACTATAACTTTCATAAACAGTACTGTGATTCTTAGTGTCAGTATTGTTAAGGGGATAGTTACTGGGGACTAACACATCTCAAGGCCGGGAGAGAGGCTCGTCTGAGATGCGGTAGGAAGACGAAGACTTCTCAAAGAGGATGGAGTGTCAGGTTGTAAGGTTTAGGATAGGGTGTCAGGCCTTGCATTTAAGTTGCAGGATTTAGGGGTTTAGGGCTAGGGTTTAAGGTCGCCCGTACAAACTTTTAAACGAGGTCTACCCACTCCTAGCACCACCAGACTTGCAAACCTGAGATCCACCCTTAAACCCTAAACCCTACGGCCCTGACCCTGAGAGGCAGTGGTACCAAGCCAACAACCTGAGCCGCTCGGACGGTTGTTGACACATACCATGACATTGATTAGCAATAACGACACAACAGTCAGAGCTTCTGATACTGCAGTGTTGCTTTGGGGTATCTAGGGTCGATCTACAGCCGTGTTACTCCAAGGTCACGAGGCTCACAATGCGTTTGCCATATGGTCGCTCATAGTGACACAACTTGTGAGGGGAAGCAGTCCTGAACCCCAGACCCTACGCCTGAAACCCAAAGGAACTCTTAAACAGAAGTGAACTCTTGTTACGAATTTTCATTTAGGCCACCATAATACTGAAAGCATACTCTTTACTATAGTTCCCTGTTATGGTAGCTCAGACTAAATTCCTTCAACGCTTAACCTCTAATTAAGCCTTAAACCCCTGAACCCTAAAACCCCGAAACCCTGAACCCTAAACCCTAGATCCTAAGAGCCCGGCAAAAGCTTCAGCGATTAGGTTACAAGAGGGGCGCCCGGGATGCTGGCCGAGGTTGGCTCGGGATTCAGCCTGAACCAATCCTTACCCAGACACCGGTGTCATTGTTTAAGGTTTCGGGTTTAGGGTTCAGGGTCCAGGGTTTAGGAGTTTAGGGTTTAGGGTTCAACGTCCAGGGTTTAGGAATTTAGGGTTTAGGGTTCAGGGTTTTGGATTTCCGCTTGTCGGTTACTCTGTTTCCTTTTGATTTGAAGGGACGGGGGCTGGCGTTGGGGGGTGCAGGGTTAGGAATCAGTTTAGCAGAGGGGCTCCCCAAGCAGCCCTGGGGTCTGGATCTCAGGACTTTGGGTGCGGATATATGAGTTTCTGTGTTTAGGCTGTTGTGCCTTTGCTTGTGCGAATTGATTTGTGTGGATGTTCAAGATTTGTTTTCCTGGTTGTTGATGATGTCGGAGCGCTTTCACGGATTCGGATGTCGAGTGTCGGTATAGCCGGGTGGGAACCAATACTTGATTAGAATGACTGGACTTTACAGCGTTGGCGTTGAGATCTGTGGAAGAACTTCGTGATCCCCCAAGAGGTCGCAACAACAAGGGAAATCTATGCCCAGCCAAACGACCATAGTAGAGACCGTCGGGTTTGTGTTAAGCCCTCACCCCAAGAGCCAGGAGATTGGGTCCACTGCGGCACTGGGGCGGTCCAGGGTGAGCTGAAGAAGAAAAGCGTCCCGCGCTGGCCGGCAACCAAAGTCAAGGCCCGGAAGGGCGCCGGGTTCAGACCCTACTTGGAGGATCTTGGGACTTAGTAAATAGCCTGCTATATTAGATTATATAACAAGAGTTGCTTTAATTGTTAACCACTAAGTCCCATGATCCTCTATGTATGCGACAATGCTCAATGATAAGAGTAGAAGTAATGCGCCAACCGAAGCCAACATCAGCCGTGAGGCTTGGCGTAGCGGTGCATGCTTTTCATAGCCTGCTGTCGGTTGAGACTAAGAGGGGAGTTTCCTAAAATTAGGGGTGCCTTACTTGAGGTCGCTATGATAAGGATCATAGTGTTTAGGGTACTAGATTTGGATCCCCTATTTTCGGAAACTCCCAGAGTAGTTGTGCTCCGTCTTGGGAATGATGACCTCCGAGACTGCAGATCTGGTCTTGCGGGCGGCATGCGCAGTAGCTTCTGTATATAATATATAATGAATATGTATGTATATGTATATACATATATGTTTATATAATCATTTTTAGTTATTTATACACAATATAGTATAATAGAAGAAAAAACAGGGCAGGTTGATATATATGTATATGTATATCAGCGACGGCACCATGCTCTTGAATCAGAGAAGAGCAAGAGCAACCACGACATGCGCAAGCAAGTTGATGGGCCTCGGTAGGAGAAAGCCAAGAAGTCGAGTTCTTTCACTTCCAAGGCAAGGCACGACATCCGACATGCACCTGATGCCGTAGAGCCCTATACTGAAAACCCCTGCGGCCCTAAGCCCGAAACAGCAAATTTGCTGCTTAATCTTCGACGGCGTCGGAACCCATGGTCAATCCACGAACTGGAGCAGCGAAAGCACAACCCCACAATTCCAGAGCCTCTTGAGCTCCAGGGTTCGTGTCTACGAGAAGTGGCAGGTCGATCTTGCAGGAAGTTGCATGTTCTAGACTTTGCTAAGTGGAGCATGGACAGCAAAGCTGTTGATGTAGAGCTGACGATGCATGGGCCGTAGCATGGAGGGAAACTCGGCGATTGTCGAGACCACAACCGAACAGGAATCCGCCAGAGTGATAGAACCCAACGGCTGCCCATCACTGGGTCACAGCCGGAAGCACGAAACCAGAGTTCAGGAAAGATTGACCCTAAACCCCAAACCCTCGAACCCTAAGCCGGGATTCGAATCCCTGGGTCGCAACCCCGAAGCCCCGGAGTTGCGACCTGGTCATAGACTCGGCCAGACAAATCGGGATCGAAGAGCCTCGCAGGGTGTGGTTGGGGTTAGGGTTATGGAGTGTAGGGTTTGCGGTTTAGGGCTTCTAGGGTTTGGTGTTTAGGTTTCCATGTTTGGGGTTTAATTTGGGTTTCAAAGTGCTGGGTTCATTCACTGCGGTTTCAGCGCCAAACCCTTCAAACGCACCAACCCTGAAAGCCCAATGCCTCCCGCACCGCAACAACCCTGTCCCCACACCCTGTCGTGGAACGGCCCTGAAGCCCAAATCTCCCGAACCTGATCAACGGTTTCTCTCGACGCTGTCTTGGACCGCACTGAAGCCCCAAAAGCCTGCGGCAACTCTTCCAACGAATACAAACATTCCTTTAGCGTCCCGATGTCGGTTCTACTTCATGAAGGCCCCCATGTTGCCCAGCAGCTCTCCAGGTCTCCCTCTTCCTCAGCAAAGATGTGCAGCGGTCGGCTGAGACTTGCCTGACAACGAAAGCTAATGTAGGAGGTTGCTAGAACTAGAAGTAGTTTGGTGTAGTTTGACCTTCTAGTCCCTTTCGTTTCCTATCGTAACAGTCCCCCAAACCATTAGTTAAAATTATGGCCCCTTTTTGAGCGAGACAAATGAGGTCTTTCGGACAGCGCTCAGCCCCAATGGTTTCACATCTTATGCTGAGAGCCGGATGCAGCACCTTCTAGCGATGATGGGTTGTGGCTATGCCTTAACAACGGTCGTCAAAAAAGGTGCATTTGGGCTGTCTCTGCGTGCTGCTGATTGCCCTCGCGTGGAATGCATTATGTAAACTTCTCGGTTTAGGGTTTTAGGGTCCTGAACCGGATGCTCAGAGCATCGTCTGTGCCGGGAATTGAAGCCGAACAGAGCCTCTGCCCACAACGCGCAAACTTCGGGTAGCATGTGACCTGAAGCGTCTTCAAGATCCCTTAGGCCCAACAAAATCACCGGATCTGATAAAACTAACAAACCTAAGCCAACTCCCAACCAAGCCCCAAGCCCAAACCGTAAACCTCTGGACCTCAAAAGCCAGCAGCATCTTCCAGGAAAGCCTTCTCAGCCTTAGTGGCAGCCAGAGCTTGCCGAGCCACTTTGTCCAAGATGGTCAATTGTCAACATTGTTGGAGTTATAAAGGAGCTACGGTTTGGGAGGGTTGGGGGTCGAGGGTTGGTTCTGTGGGACCTGCAAATCGAAGGGACGGTATAACTACTAACTAACATACTAACACATCATTCCGGCCTACATTTACGAGAACGTCATCAACCTTCATCACAGGCATCATCGTCGAGGTAATCTTCACCATCATTGTCGCTGTCACCATCATCTCTTCGTGATCATAGTCACATCGTCATCACACCAGCATCACCAGCCGTATAGTCACCTTCACCATCATCATCATCATCATCAACGCCTCGGTCATCAGCTTACAATGCTTCCAACCTCATCAACCAGCAAGATCATCGCCATGACCACAGCTGCCAATCAGACAACGGCAAGCAATTCCCTTTTGTCTAAATCCACGAATTTGTTTCCGTCATTGTTATGTCGAGTTGAGGATCCCGAAGCGGACCCTGACTTACAGAAGCGCTGTACCAGCGTCTTCAAGTGGTAATACCGTCACCATTCTGAGTTCTTGTCAAGGAGTTGCATTTAAGCTATGTACTTCCTTTGTGCTACTGCAGGTCCAGATCCTTGAAGTAAGTTGCTTCACACCTGTAGCAACGGCTATAAAACGAACAAAATCTATTGGAAACACTTGTCGAGTTGTACAACGTCGTGTTAACACTCTCACATAAGCCCGAACCCCAAACCCCCAAACCCTACAACCCTAAGGATCGAACCCTAAACCCCCCAAACCCTGCAGCCCTAAGGATCGAACCCTGAACCCCCAAACCCTGCAACCCTAAGGATCGGACCCTAAACCCCAAACCCTACAACCCTAAGGATCCCCAAGAGCACAGCTGAAGGCATAGTCCTCGGACAAGTACCTTACCCTCCCACACCGGCCTTCGTGCGGGACATGATGCGGCGTCGCTGGGCTTTTGTTTAGGGTTTAGGTTTTTTTCACGAGATGGTAAGATTTTGGGGCCTTTCAGTTGGGGATTTAAGGGTTTTGAAGGTTTAAGGTTGGTGATCCTGTGTGTTTTGGGTGGGCTTGAGGGTTTGGGCTTCAGGGTCATGGGCTGCTCAGATTCATGCTCACGTTTTAAGAGATGCAGTCTGACTGAAGAAGTCGAGTTTTGCAAATCGGGCTGCCAGCCTCTCATGTTGTTTGCGTACCTTGGAGTCTACCTATAGTCTCCATTGTAGTTCCTTTTTTTGGTTTAACCAGATATATAATAAGGATCCTATAAGGTAACCCCAAAAAGGAACTACAATGGAGACTACAGGTAGAGCGCCGTCTAATAGGACCAGCACCTTGAGGCTCATGGGTTGTCTGTCATACTGCTGATGGACAAAATCCTGCATGACCATAAGGACCCTAAACTATGGGAACTATGGTATATTCCTTATAACGGGTAATGCAGGATTTTGTCCATCAGCAATATTAATGCAAAAAAGCTAGAGATAGAGCCGTTAAGAGGTTCATCTCTGGTTGACAAGCTCATAGATCTATGCTGACGAGGCTACGAGGCCCCTTGTTGAAATACAAGACAAGGTGCTGCAACCTCACTTTCAGCTACCATCGTTTTTGCAACTTTCGACTAAGCCGTTGCACAACTGCGACGCCCCAACCCGCGCAACCCCAAGCAAGGCTGGTGTGAAGAAGATGCCGCACGCGAGGAGAGAGAGCGTCAAGAGGCCGAGGAAGCGGCTCGTCTTCTTGAGGAGTTCAACCAGTAGCTAGGACTTCCATTCGAAGTGATCGCCGTCGTAGTAGTCTGTGCAAATGGTGGCAGGAGCCGTAGCCAGATCTTTTCACAGTCTTGACTCCGGCTGCAATTCCAAAGACTCGCCGTGCAGCTATTGGTCGTATGGCTGCTTGATGAAGAGATCGACGGGAGAGCATGGCTATGAACAACTCACGTCAGACTGACGTCAGAGAAAGACTCCGACTGCTACGTTCGGCGACCACGGACCTTCAACGAATTTCGCCACAGCCCCGGCCAAAGTCGAGTTGGTCACAATGCATGACTGGCTGGTCTTAGTAGAAGGAATCAGCTTTTCAGACGTGCAAACCTTAAACCGGAAACCCTCACCGCCCACACCAAGCGGTTCGTACTAAGAGCCAGCCAGATGACCATTCCCCGAGAGGTTTCGAGCAACGTAGGCTGGGATCGGGCTATCGGGTTCAAGACTTCAGAGGTTGGTGAGTAGAGCTTGGTTGCACCTGAAGCCCGAAAGTATGTAGAAAAACATCCTGTTATAGATGTCGGACCAGTATGTACCCCATTTTTGGAGTGTAGGTAGGGCTAAGAGTTGCCAGCATTGGGATTTCTCAGAGTTTGCGAGCTAGGATTTCAGCGTATAGAGCGTAGGGTGCAGGGGATCTCTTCCTGTGCGATCACGATTTCTCTGCCAACAAAGCTGATTGATAACCCTGGTCGCGAACCACGGTTAAGGTTTAGGGTTTAGGGTTGAGGGTTTAGGGTTTAGGGTTTAGGGGCGAACGTGCTAACACTGACCATCCAAAAACGCAGTGTGTCCCGGATCCTTAATCTGATTTGGTTTTACGAAGCCCACGATCCTCAACCCAGTCCTGACGCATACAGATGAAGAAGACAACGAGCCGATCAAAGGTACAACTGGTAGGAACTACCTGCTTTCAGACTAGGCTCAGGATTTTAGGCTTACAAGGATGCGGCAGTAAGAGCGGTTAGGAAGATTAGTCAGGGGAGTATGCTAAGTGATGGGGTTTCAAAGGGCTACTAAGTTACTAGCTGGACTTACCGATGAAACCCTATACCCTAAACCCTGCCCGGAGGAAAAAGGCGCTAAAAAACCAAAACCTACACCCTTATGCTACAGTCTCCTTAGGAATTATTTTTGAATTTTTGTTCATATAAAACCCAAAGGAATATTAAATCTATTGTTTTGAAAAAACCCTAAATGAGTCAAAAGAGCCTCCAAGGGATCAGCGAGGCTTTTCCGGGTGTGCTCTGAGCTGTTGGGATTTGTCGGGCGTGATTCCTGGGTAGGCAGGAGGCTTCCTTCCTACAGCCCTTTAAAGGGCCATAGTTCCTATATACCTTAGTCCTTAAGCCGTAATCCTTAAGCCTTACTCCCCAAGTTCTAACCCCTAGAAGCTCGAATACCACAAAACCCGAATCCCTAAACCCTTACATCTAAGAATGACAACCCTAATCCCTAAGCCCTAAACTTTTAAAGCCCTACACCCTAAAAACCCTAAACCTTTAAACTCTAAACCCTAAACCCTAAAGCCCTAAACCCCAAAAGCCCCAAACGCCAGAGTTGGCTCGGACCTTGCTGGCGGTCCTTTTGAGCTCAAAGCTTCTGCTTCCGAGAAGAGCCCCAAGCCGGGGTTTGGAAAATTTGATGTTCTTGGCGGTTTTAGCGGTTTAGGGGTTTAGAGGGGATTGAGCGGTTTTAGCGGTTTAGGGGGTTAGCTCTTTTGGGCTTTAGGGGTTGAGAGTCTGGGGTTTGGGCATTTTGCTGTTCTTAAGGGAATTGGGCCTTTGATTTGAAGTGCTTTAGCACCTGCCTACGTTTGTGGAATCTCCCGGAAGTCTGGCTACGAAGTGTAGGACCTTGAACAGCCGGTGTCAGATAGTGTTCACATTGTCGCACAGTTTGGAAACATTCTGAAGCTAGTCACGTTACAGGGCATCTCTGCGAGTGTCACCTTTCCCAGCAGTTCGGGTTTTCAGAGTAGGCGCCTCTCGGTTTACAGAACTCAGGTTCTCATGTAGTTGAAGACGGTCTACACGGTCAACCCACATTGACATGAACTCAAGCCTTATCCAAAGACAGCGGAAGCTTTGAGCGCCCCTCCCTTTCCTTGGGGATCCATCTGCTCCAGATGCCGACAAGCTCTGATGCATAGTTGTGTCTGGATGCGCCGTTTTGTGCTTCAGAAATTATACACGCTCACTCTCGACTTGCGCACATCGGAGCAGATGGCAAAGAAAGCACAGGTGCCTGCCGAGGGACGAGACTAAACCGCGATGGCAGCAAAAAGTCGATCGGAGATTTGTGTCCAAAGCCGCTCCATTCCTGGTAGTGGCGTGAGAGGCAAGGACCCAGACCGTAATGCTGAAACCTTAGTTCGGAACTTGAGTCCCGAGTTCCAAGTTCGCAAGATCCATCGAAGTCTGCGCGGCTCGCGTCAGCAAATATCTCCTCCTCAGCCGTGATTCGTTTTGAATTTCGCATTGGAGAATTGTCGGTGGCTGGCCCTACCCTGCATGGTATCTACACAGAAAGTCGATTTGGACAACGGCTGCAATCTACTTGCATTGCCATGGTCAGATCTTGCGACGCGCCTCCCAGACCCTAATTCTCCAGACTCCTCCGTGGCCGATGTATTGTAGGGTGGCCCGTCTTGTGAGCTGCAACACTAGTTTCGCCAAACACCTCTAGAGAAGTTCTACCTTAGCACATACCGCACCCTACTCGTTGTAGGGTCTACAGAGTTTCGTATGAGTCCTACGAAAAGATCATGGTGTATAGTTCAAGTTAGACCGAGCTACCCCTGTCCGAGGGTCTCCAGGTTGGGGTTAGTGCTGCTTCAGCTGTTCTTATCAAAGCAAAACCCACACAAGCAGGAAGCCTCCCAAGAGAAGCCATATATCCAAGACCCCTACCAAAAGCGCCAGGTGAAGAATTCTCTCTTGCGAACGATCCTCCGGCAAGACAATGGCGGCATTTTGAGCGACGAGGTCGGCGTAGCCCTCAGCTCGGGCGAAGTACAGAGCCCACAACCCTTTCGATTAAGAAGCCTTAGGTTCAGAGTTTAGGCTGGCTCCGTTAGGAATCACATGAAAATAGGGGACCCTATAGTACCCTGAATAGTAGGATCCTTCTTATCGGGACCCCAGAAGACGGTACCCCAAATTTCCAGAACCTCACAAAGTGATAATTAAATGCAACTATGTAAGACACACATGTTAAGTCTAACTCAGGAGTGTGCTCAGGTTCAAGTGAAAAGTTACACCTTAGTCATGATAGAACCAGTGGAGGAAGACTGATGTTAGCGGCAAGGATGCAAAACAACGCAACCCCCAATCGCGCATTTGGATGAGGCTTCCTACTTCTGCTGGTGGGAGAGTTGGGGGCAAATCTCTTCGACCAGCGTGCTGGTCGCAAGGCAGACAGGCCAGCCTCCTGCACAGGATTCTGTCAAGAGCTTTTGCGCCCTTTGGGAAAAGTCCCTTTATAAACCCCCAACTTTATAAAGCCTAAGCCGAATACTCTGCAATCCTGCGCCCTGCTCCCTGCAGGAAAGAGGCAGAGCGCCTCCAAGCGGCTGCTGAGGCAAGCGCCGTTATCTCACCAGATCATACAGCATTGCGTATTGCATTTGTACGATTATGATCTATGTGACTATGGCGAGTTACTCTGATCATCATCTTGGTTCAGAGTTAAAGTCTGCACCGCACGACTCACATGCGCCAGCTTGGCCAAGCTGTGTCTTGAAATCCCAACATCTGCTTAGAGCTTTCGCCTTGGTTTCAGGTGTCTGGATAGCCCGAAAGCAGAAACTCTTCACTCCAAGCCCCGAAACCCCAAGGCCCTTGACCCTAAGCCCGTAAACCCTATAAGCACCTGGTAATATTGGGGGCCTAATTTATCACCTATAGTACTACTTTGGCGGCTCCTTATTGTAACTAGAGTGTAACTGGCCCCAAAACCCTATTCTAATTATGAAGGCCCCTATATAGAGTACTCGAACACCTTGCTACAGCGCCAGGCCGATGGGCGTGCTGCGGCGGCGGCTGCGCAGGATGCTGCAGCCCAGCACGCGGAGGAGGGCGCCACGGGATGCTACTTTAGGAGAACTGGTTTTAGGTTCGAGCCTGAGGATTGTCGGTTCTGAGGTGTATTATAGTATATAGGCTTTGGAGAGACTGTGTGGAGTTAGGCACCGAAAGCCCCGAAGCATGAGCCCTGGCTTCAGTGCCTTATACTACACCCCCCAAACCTACATGGACCATGAAGCCTTACCAAAGCTCCACCCGCTATACAGAAGAGCAGCTCCATACTCTTCGCTGCACCCCGAGACTCTTCAAGCCATCTAAAACACCCTATGCCGGCTTTCTTGGGGCTCCGGGCACTAGAACCTTGAACCCGAACCCCAAAACCAAAACTTCAAAAGCCCCAACCCCATGAGCTTACCTAAGGCTTCAGGAAAAGAAACCCCTTTTCAGAGTAGCCGGGCTTCTGTCGTAGGAACCCCTCAACCCAAGAGTTCGGGTACAGTAATAAGGGTTCAGGGCTGAAGGTATTGTGAGGTTGGTCCTGCTATAGCCCTTCAGTCCTTGATCTAAATGCCCTAAATCCCAGGCCGTTCCCTTAAGCCATAAGTCCCTGATCTAACCCCAAAATCGTTCCCTCAACCCTTAACACTATAGACCCTGAACCCAGGAGGCGGCAGTTGAAGCCGATCGAAGCAACCGCCGCTGCGCTGCTTTGGAGTCCCTTGACATCTTTGGGAAACGTACCTTTAAAGGGATCTATAAGGGTGGCTTGGGGCTTGAGGTAAAGAGTTTAGGGTTTGTTGCACTTGAGGGCTGACGTCGGGTTCGGGGCCCAAGACAGCAAGCCCTCCCTAAATCTTAAACCCACTTATGTAGGACTTGGGGCTTGAATGTCGTCGACGGAGGTTCTGGGCTCCGGGATTGCAGGTAGTTTGTTAGTATTCAGTCAAGACCTTCAACCGTTCT